CCAAATGTTAAATATTCTTCGAGTATTCTACAGAATTAATATCTCTTCTATTTACCAAGTTCTTGTAACATTTTTCACATATTCACATAAGGAATTTTCTTATACTGTCCATAATTTTTATGGGAGAAAGAATTAGAAATAAGAGAAATGAAAAATTGTTAGAATTGATTAGCAGTGAAGATATAAATTTTTATCTAAATAATTATTCGAACAAAATAATTTTATTTTAATTTCTATTTGCTCTCTGGAATTTAATTTAGAATAGTATTATTTAGAATTTATTTTAAATATAATAATATATTGGAAATATATTATTTTAATACTATTCTTTCAATTTAGTTTTTACTAGTTTTCAAATAATTTGTTTTTCTTTCTCGTTTTTTACTTGTTACTTTGAATAATATACATGAATATGAAATTTGAGTTATATGCAACAAATAGTTCTTGACTTTATATGTATAAAAATTAACAAATTTAACAAATAATAAAACTAACGAGTCTTTAAATCTTTTCATCAAATTGTAATCCACTTTTACAATAATTAAATCTATGTCTCACTCATATTTCCAAACATATTCATACATATTAGAATCAGAATATTGTAATATAGTGAAATAAATAAAAATCCATGTTGTACAATCAATAATAAAATATTGCATTAGCAGGATAATTAAATAAAAAAAAAAAAAGATTGATAAAAATCCTATCGATAAAACTTTCCATAAGAATAATTCCAAACTAAAACTAAATTAATCTGGAATGCATCATTTACAAGGGAATTCAATAACAGAATACTACAGTAGTACAATAATTGAGTGAAAAAAAAAAAAAATAATAATGAAAATCCAATATATATATAGATAAATAAAATTTTCCATAAAAATAATTTCAACTAATTGAATTTGCAAAATATCCTTACAAAGAAAAAAAAATAAATAAATAAATCCATATTTCACAATCAAATATACAATATACAATATTGCAATATTAGAGCATAATTAAATAAAAAGAATAATGAAAATCTCGTCCATCAAATTTTCCATAAAAAATGAAAATTATTCCAATTTTATTCAAAATAATATCCAAACATTCGATGGACAAACATTTACGAAGGAAAATAATATATATATTCTTTCAAATTTTTATCGATTCCACAACTTCCTGTAATCGCCATCGAAGAATTTTCACGGTAATCACAGAAATGCGTGAGCCAAGATCGAACAGCAATCCGATTAGCTTAGTTCCACGAAATTTCACGAGGCAGCAGTTTCAAGAAGTTGAAGAAATCGGACTAATTTTCATGGGTTGAGGTAAAGGAAGTTGGTTTAAATTCTTAATGAGGCGGGCCTGCATCAGCGTGGATTCAGCTCCATTTTGTCGAGGTTTGGGTAAATTATTGAGGTACTTTGGCGTAAAAAGTCCGGCCGGAATTAGCCGCATTATGTGGTGAAAGCTTAAATTAAGAAACGCGTACTTTAAGTCGCGCTTGATTTAAGGTTTTATCCCTTGGAGATGATAACGAGATTCCACGGGACTTCATTGGGATGAAAATTTTCAACACGTTCGAGATAGTATCGGAAAATCGAAATGGTGGATATTGATTGTCGATATAAGTGTAAAAAAATAATTGTAAAACAACGAGAAATGCAGAGAAATCGAACATGACAACACTTGTATTGGATGTAAAAGGAAAATCGAATATACGAAGAACTTTCTTTCATCTTTTACATTTAAAAATTTGGAAAAATTCGTGACGTGACTGTACGCGTCAACGCTGTAGCACAGAAAATCCCTTTGACGCATACGGTGCGTCGTCGTTCTCAAATGTATTCATAGTGATAAATTCAATAATACTTATACATGTATAGAATATATTGATTATCCGTATTTAATTATTACATATAATTAATTGCAAATATTGAAAATAATAACTAATATTACACAAATTAAATTTTATATTAAAAGATTACAAAAATAATATCATATTTTCAATTTTACTTCGATCGTCGATAAAGATTACTTCTCTAAAAGAATTTATAAAATTTCCAAAAAAGGAAATCTCAACTTCTCACCCTCTGTTTTCCATGTAAAAAAAAAAAAAAAATTCAAGAAAAAAAGATTCGATTCAGTGCACGTGAGAGTAATGTAATACTACGTTTGAATTGTTATATAAAATTTCTTTTCGAAGTCACATCCCTCGTTCGACAATTGAATATAATTAAACATTAAATAATATATTGCACGCTAAATACTTCGATTGAATCTCATTAAATTCGTTTCTTCCATCCTTTTAAAGGAACAATTGAAACACGGTCAAGTAAACGAAGTGGTAGACAGGGATCGTCGCCACTTGAAATCGCGCCCTTTAAATTGAATATTCCTGTGCACAAGGGAAATCGGTGATTACGACGATCCTCGTCTCAAGGGAGGAAGATTTGCTCTCGATGGCCACCGGCGTGTATCCGTGCCGGCATTTGGACTTCCGCCAACCGGTTTGCAAATCCCTGTATTTCGGATCCTCCTCCTCCTCCTCCTCCTCTCTTCCTCCTCCATTTTTTTCATCTTCCTCCTCTTCTTCTTCTTCTCTTCTTCTCTTCGTAGAACGTAGCGCGTAAAACGTTTCCTATCCTGATTAATCGGATCGCTCGCGTAACATTCAGATTTCGAGGGAAGCGAGATCACCTCGAGCTATGAAGACGCGCGTAGAAAGTTGCGGAAGAGCGGCGATTATTCCGTGGAAAATGGAGGGAAATCTGGCATCGTGCGGATAAAAGTTCATCTAACTTTGCCCAACGTTGTTTTAACGAACCAAGCGTGGTGGTCCAAGCGTGACTTTGATCCTTTTCCTTCATTTTTAAATTTTGCGATTTTTTTTTTTTTTTTGAAATGGACTTCTTTCGCGAGGCTGGCGATTCTTCTTTTTTTATCGATTATTCAAAACTGGTCTTTTTTCAAATTTGGTCTTTTTCGTTTTTGGATGAGATTGAAGAGGTGCTTTATACGGTTTTTTTTTTGTGGAGAATCTGTTTTAATTATAATAGAGAATGTTTAGAGAAGAGCGAACGGGGGATAAGAATGGATGAAAAAAGAAAATGAATTAATGTTTCAAACTTTTTCGAGATTATTAGAGCGATATTATCAAAGTTTATTTAACGATGATAGATAATATTACTATTGAGATAAATCTTAATTGGAAACAAATGAGATTTATATCTCGGTTTAAAAATTCTATTTACTTTCTATAGCAAGTTATTGTCTTCATTTTAAAAGAAAAATTGTCAAACCATTATATTTATATGAGTAATATAAAAAATATTAAAATTTGAAACTCTCGAATTTGGTATAAAAATTTCTAAACAAACTAAATTGTAATAAATAATTATTTCAATATTTCTTAATTAATTAATTGGAAAACTTTCAATAAACGGATTTATCGTTTCTTAAAATCGCTCGTAAAACAAAAAGATCAACGTCAAAAATCAAAGCAATTATAGAAATAATAATAGTTTCCTTGACACGTGATTCACGCAAGCGGTGGTCGGGAAATTCAACGGAAAATTCCTCATTGAATTTCATCTAAACTTTCGAATCACGGTATCAAGTTGTAAAGTGAATTTAAAGCTAACTCGAAGTGGCTTCGATCGTGCATTCTCACCGACACGCCACTCTACCGACCGAACACAACCCTGTGTTTGTATGCAAGTTACTCTGGTATTCCGGAAGTTGATCTGGACGCGGTTGCGGACGAGGACAGGAAACGTCTTCTTGCGTTGCTGGCCGGAACCAGTCTTCGATTGTTAGGTCTTCCTGCTCGAATTTATCACTCTATGATTCTAAAAATGTCGTCAAGCTTTACGACAATCGTACCTTTTCGCTCTAGAAAGAAAAAAAAGGCTCTCTTTGGCCATCTCTTTGATAATCTTTATATTTCAATAATGTAATCAGAATTAATATTCTTAGAATTTCTATGTTATTAATGTAATCGATATGTTTAGAATTGTCATCGAAGATTAATTTTCAAAATTCAAATGAATTCTTGTAACAATTTTGCTATTTGATCGAGAGCATCTTACATACATATTCAAATACAGTCCAACAGGATACCAAAATGTATAGATGTCTGGGATACAGGATTCGAGATCTTGTTGATCAACTAATCAACGTATATCTTGGTTGATATTCCATCAGTGGTTATGCATCAGTGTCCAATAATCTGATGAAATTTGATCAGTTGAGTCTCGATTCTGAAAAGTTTCCATTCTTAAAATTGAAATTTTCTGATATTAAACTGATTTACAAATAATTTGCAATTTTAATGTAATATGGAACATTGTTCGTTTAAATTTTGTATCATGGTCAACCAAATTAATCTGATCTCTAATCGTCGTTCAAAATCGACTGTGTAAAATTAAATTTCAATGATATAAACAACAATGGATTTATGTAACTTGATTTGAAAGGCTATCTTTTAACCGACCAATCGAATTAATCATCTTCGAATCGTACATTTTATCTGATTGAAATTTAGTTTACTACCAACTTTTATCAAATTACAATCTCAATTGGATTCGATTGACTGACTAATAAGTTAATGCAAATATAAATTCACCCAATATAAATTATCAAAAAATTATTCTTTATCAAAAAAAGAAAAAAATAATAATAATTCCATAATAAACCAAGATATATTTATCAATATTTAAAGAGAAATCTAATTTATTAACGTAACATATTTCCGAAATCAATGTTGCACTACGATTTATACGATTAAGCTCTTAAATCGTAATTAATAAAAATTACCAGATACAAACAATCGTGTCCAATTTTTTTTTTTTTAATTTTATTTTGTGCAAGCCGACGGATACAGTTTATAAAATTCTAACAATTATATATATACATGTAAATCTAACATGTCGTTCCCTTAATTATCGATCGTCTATATCGATAACGTAAGACACGATGATGATGCAACGTTTCGACGTTTTTCGAAAAGTAAAAACAAAAGTACAAAATTATCCCCTCCTATGTTCTCCCACAATTTTAATGTCTACAGCGGGGAGGGGGGTAAAATCGCGAGGAATTTAATTCAAATTCTTGAGGAACAAAACGTAACGCGATAAATATCTGGCAAAGTGGAACCTGGCCGAGCTAGTTGGCGCGGGTTCCACACAGGGCAAAATAAATTACACGGTACAAAAGAAACCGTCGCTTTAAATTACACGGTTTATTAACGAGCTGCAAACCATCTAATGTAGCTAGGTGAAATCGTTAAATGGAAATCTACATCGTTTCACAAGCGTCTATTATTATTATTATTAAAGATTAAATCTAAAACTTAAAATTACTGATGGCTAATGTCTAATCTCCTCGTGGATAATCGTTTTGGGAAAAATTCCACGATCGATTACGTATTTTTTTTTTTTTTTTTTTCTTCTTTTTCTTTCCCTTTCTGCCCGTGTTGCTTGATATTTTTCCACTTGGATACGAACGAACGTTCAATTTATTCGGTATTGCCGAAGAATTCAGAGATTCGTGGATAAATTCTCTTCTTCGCGCGTAAATACTCGAGTATAGAATCCTCACTGATCCTTTTCTCGACAATCTCAGGGAAAGGAACACCAATAATATCTTCGTATAATTCCTCGGCGGTTTTACCAATGCCGGGGAAGCAAGGGTGCCGAGCGGCTTGCTTCACCTTTTTCTTTATTTTCGTCAATATTTCTTCCGATAACTCCTCGTACACTTCCTCTTCGTCTACTTCTTCCTCTTCCTTCTTGATTATCTCCAATGGAAGTTTCCTGGATTTTAAGAATAATTGAAACGTTATGTTTTGCGATTGAATCGATTTCGTAATATTAAAGATTAACAATGTAATTCTAATTTTAATAGACGTACTCTTGCCTTGTATTCTGGCAGGAATACGCTATTAAAATTCGGAAATATTTGAATCGCTACAACTTCGAAGATAATGATTTCCGGACAACGAACGAACGATCATTAGAAACGCGGAACCTTGCCCTTTAAAACTCTTTTTCGTTTACGTCGATACGATTTCCGGTTCTCGAGATATCATCGTGTAAAGAGAAGATAATTTTCGATCATTTGCCTTAAACCGGATCAAACTCTATTAAAATTGGAAAAAATTTGAATCGCTATAACTTCGAAGATAATTACTTCCGGTTGATCAATGAGAGATCATTGAAAGCGTGGAATCTTCCCCTTTAAAATGCTTTTTTGTTTATCCCGATACGACTTCCGGTTCCCGAGATATCGTCGTGTAAAGAAAAAGGTAATTTTTTAATCGTTTAATATCTCCTTCCTTATTGTTTATTCGGATCTCTCATTCCTACCTCGTCTCATTGATCTATTCCAAACTCCAGACAAGCGACAGACGTAATTCTTGGAAAAACATAGTACGCATTTCTAGGAAACCCTAGATTCCAAGCTCATTCATAATCTCTGCATTGCATTAAGCGCTGCAGAAACTTCGAATCTTAATATCTCAGCAACGGATTAAGATATCGAGATGGATCAAAAAGTGACTTCAACGATGTGATTTTCTCTATTTTTTGAATAGATTTTGATGACGAAATTTGTACTTCTTTTTCACATTTTTTATAAATAATTGAATATAAATCGTTTCACTTATCACTTTTAACGTAAATATATATATATATAAATTATACCTTTTGTTCGGTATTGATAAATCGACTTTAGATTATTGATTTAAATTTTTAAGATTTAGTGTGTTTGAAATGATGATTGAAATAAAATTTGCATAATAAAAAATAAAATAAATAATAAATCTAGAAATGTTATAGTTGTATAATGATTGATTGGAAAATGTATATTAATTTTCTCTTGCATGAATAATTAAATATTATATTAAATCCTGCTTTGTATATAATAGTCTTTGCTAGTTTACAAATTCATCGTATGTATAAAATTTGTTTACGAATATGTTTCGAATGAAATAAAGCTTCTCCAAGCTGACAGATAAAATGTTCTGACCAAATAGAACACGATTACATCCGGGATAAAAAGATTAATCTACCTTTGACTTGAAAGAAAAATGAAAGAAAATTGTAAATTGATGTTTTCCTGCATACCCTACAATTCCGCGGCACTATCGTCTATATAAAGCACGATAGAACAGGATGAAGAAATTTCGATTAACTTTTTTCCCAAGATCAGGCTTCTTGATCTTTCTTGGGAGAATAAATGAAAGTTTTTCTTGAATCACCAATTCAAATTACAGACTATGCATAACAAAAAAGGCTAAGCATCACGTATTGTCGAATCATTTGAACTTAATACCAGTGAACCAAAAATTCAAATTCTCCTCTCCTCGTGTAGAAAACTGATATCGATTAAATAAATTCTTTTCTCGATCAAAAAAGTTTTCACCCAACTTTCGTATTATCAGAAATGATAATCAAGTTATCAAAAAAGACTCTCGATGCATGCGACTAATTTTGAAATATATATTCTTATATTTTGCAAGCAACTATAATATTTTGATCAAGAAAAAAAAATAAATAAGCTTTGATAAGCTTAGATTATTCTAACACAAGTCTTCTTTCAGAAATAATAATCAAGTTATCAAAAAGGCTAATTTTGAAATATATATTCCTATATTTTGCAAGCAACTATAATATTTTGATCAAGAAAAAAAAAATAAATAAGCTTTGATAAGTTTAGACTATTCTAACACAAGTCTTCTTTCAGAAATGATAATCAAGTTATCAAAAAGACTCTCGACTAATTTTGAAATATATATTCCTTGTTTTGATCAAAAAAAAAAGAAATGATAAGATGAACATGTTTGATGTAACATAATTTCAAGTGTACTTATCTTTGATAGAAAACTTCATTCAGTTTTCAAATACCATTGAAAAATACGTCTCTTCAATTTCTCCTTACGTATATCAATTCTAATCTTTAACTAACACCAAGCTGAACCATTTCTTTAAAATATATACTCAATAATCAAAATATTTTCCTATTCAACTATTCAAAGAATAGTCTCTAAAATGTTCAAAAGTCTTACCTAATTTTCAAACCACTTTTTTACATTGATCTTACCTTTTCTTCTCGTATATCTTAGGATACTTTTTCTTGCTTTGAGCCTCCTTGATCTCCTCCTTGGCTCTTCTCACATCTTCTTTGAACTCCGTAGGCGGTGCCTGTATTTTCATAATAATCAACTTTTCCCTCTTACGCTTCCATTTAGCAGCCTCGGTTTCTTCCTTCTTCACTTTCTTTTTCCTCCTCACTCTCACCCCCCGTTTCATGCAGCACACTTTCGGCTTGCAAATCACGTCCTTGCAAGGATCCGGCAATTTCAGTTTCATCGTCTTCGGTTTCACCTTCTCCACCTTCTTCTCATGCTTCTCGGGTATTATCTTCTCCAACTCCTTCTTAATGAGCACATCGGTTATTTTAGAAGGTACTTTCGCTATGGATGCCGGCTTCTTCTTGATCGTCTTCTTTATGGACTTTTCCCTTCGAGTCTTCAATACCTCTCGTTTCAATATTTCCGATTTTTCAGCGACCTGGATCACCGGTTCAGACGGTTTCCGCCTCTTGTCAGTTTTCTTCACTTGCATCGACACGGCGAACGGGATGATGTCAGGATCATCGTCCGCGTACCGCTCCATTTCCTGTAATACCGATGTAAACGATAAAAACTTTTTGTATACAAAAATGCTTATTTATCGTATATTCGTCGAATTATGTTTTTTATGTTGGATAAAATAAGGCAGCTCTATCCATTTTACCTGTCTCTGTCATCAAGTCAAGAAAATTTAAATTAATTGGAATTCGATGGATAAGTCTAATTTTTAATAATATTTTTCCACGCATTCTTTGCACGATGGTCGCGTAAGAATTAATTTGTAATAAACTGAAACTTTGGTTAAATTGAATTAAAATATAAATAATTTAAAATATAAAAAAAGTGCATTCGTATGAATGTACAGATCGGTATATTGTTATATTAAATTACAATTAAGTATTAATTTATAGATATTTTAAATTGGAAGATATTTTTGGTTTTCTTAGAAGACAATGATGTCACTTATAGGATCTAATAATTAGTATTAATTAATAAATAATCTTGATTTAAAATTTTTCTACTTTGCCTGTCTCTGTTATAAAACCAAGCAAATTTAAATTAATTGGAATTTAATAGATAAATCTCTATAAAAAAAAGTGCATTCGTATGAATTGTTATATTAAATTACAATTAAGTATTTATAGATATTTTAAAGGAAAATTAGAAGATATTTTTGGTTTTCTTAGAAGACAATGATATCACTTATGGAAAATTATGGAAAAGGAAAATTAGAAGATATTTTTAGTTTTCTTAGAAGACAATAATGTCACTTATGGGATCTAATAATTGGTATTAATTATAATCTCGATTTAAAATTTTTCTACTTTGCCTGTCTCTGTCATAAAACCAAGCAAATTTAAATTAATTGGAATTTAATAGATAAATTTCTATAAAAAAAAGTGCATTCGTATAAATTGTTATATTAAATTACAATTAAGTATTTATAGATATTTTAAAGGAAAATTAGAAGATATTTTTAGTTTTCTTAGAAGACAATGATATCACTTATGGAAAATTATGGAAAAGAAAAATTAGAAGATATTTTTGGTTTTCTTAAAAGACAATGATGTCACTTATGGGATCTAATAATTGGTATTAATTATAATCTCGATTTAAAATTTCTTCACTTTGCCTGTCTCTGTCAGCAAACCAAGCAAATTTAAATTAATTGGAATTCAATAGATAAATCTCTATAAAAAAAAGTGTATTCGTATGAATGTACAGATCGGTATATTGTTATATTAAATTACAATAAAATATTATTTTATAGATATTTTAAAGGAAAATTGGTATTAATTATAATCTCGATTTAAAATTTCTTATAGAAGAAGAAAAATTCAAAATAATTCGAGGAAGAATGTAATAATGTAAGAAACATTGACTCTTACTTTCTCCACAATTTCAAAGTATTTTCTTTCAGCTTCTATAATTTCCGGAGTATCGAAGTCCCGTACCTTTTTCCTGTCCTTTACAACCTTTTCCCGATCTTTTATCATTTTCGCGTTCTTCTCCTGCGTCATCCTCGCGTCTCTCTCCTTCTTCTTAACTCTTTCCTTCAATTTCTTTTTCTCCTCCTCCTCGTGCTCCTCTCTAACCGCCAGCATCAATTTGATTTCTTTTAATCGTATATCCACCCCCTTTGTCAGTTTCGAACACCTCTCCAGAAACTAACGGAACAAAGAAATATCTTTGAGATTAAAGATTTTTTCCCAATCTTTTTCCCAATTTAATAATGAGATTATTAATAATAACAATAAATACATTTCACAATATTTGTAACAGAAATTATCTCTAAATTTGTGTGATTGATAATATATACATACGATATATAAATTTAATAATATATCTTTACAAAATGAATTTGTAAAAGTTAATTTAATTTTGCATTTCGTAAGAAGAAACTCATGTAATTTTTCACAATTATTCACAACGATTCACAATTTAATAAATTTCTTTCAAAATACACTTATTTGAATAACGATTGAAAGCCTACTTCCGAGAAGAAAGTCCTGTCCCTTCTGCTGAACGTGGTAAAGAATTCACCTGGTTCGACGAGATATACTTTCCCCGTATAACTCCCAATAGCGACAACGGGCTCTTCTTCGGAGGGTACGATGCAATTGAGCTTATTGTGGCTTAACTGCAGTTCAAAAATCGGATTTCGAATGGATTGCAGAATGTCGTACACAATCATCTTCCCGTCGTCGGTCGTTACGTAGAAACAGGAGGATCTGGTCTTGCTCCAACACCCGTCCGTTGGATGAACCTGGAAACTTTGAACCAACAATGTACAAATTAAATTATTTTCGATAATGTTGAAATATCGAGCGTAAACTCTCAATCTTATTGAAATAACAGAAAAGAGAAAAACGAAACGAACCTTTATTAATCTGTAAATAACGTTTAAATAATCATACTTTCTTGTATATTGATAATCTTTTCATTTATCGCGATATCAATTTCAAAAGATTGAATTACGTAACTCGATTTACGAATTATAATAAATTACGATATATAATTTCCTGATGAGATCGATATCTCATTCGTTCAATTCATCCATTTTTCGGTGCAATAATTCTACATTTATCTACGTATCGAGAACTAATAATTTCAATCTAAAAACTTACTAAAGCATACAAGCATTTTTCACAGAAATATCCACGTCTTATTCGTCGCGATATCAATTTCAAAAGATTGAATTACGTGAACTCGATTTACAATTATAAATTACGATATATAATTTCCTGATGAGATCGATATCTCATTTATCAATTTTTCGGTACAATAATTCTACACTTACGATCAACTTATCTAGAACTAATAATAATAATAATAATAATTAATAATAATAATAATAATTCAATCTAAAAACTTAAAGCATTTTTCACAGAAATGTCCACGTCTTATTCATCGCGATATCAATTTACAATATTATAAATTATGATATATAATTGATGTGATCGATATCTCATTCGTTCAATTCATCCATTTTTCGGTGCAATAATTCTACATTTATCTACGTATCGAGAACTAATAATTTCAATTCAAAAAACTTCAGTTCAAAAAACTTAAAGTTTTCACAGAAATGTCCACGTCTTATTCATCGCGATATCAATTTCAAAAGATTGAATCACGTATCTCTGAACTCGATACATTATAATTATAAATTACAAATTACGATAAATTATAAATTATAAATTACGATATATAATTTCCTGATGAGATCGATATCTCATTTATCAATTTTTCGGTACAATAATTCTACACTTACGATCAACTTATCTAGAACTAATAATTCAATTTAAAAGCTTAAAGCATTTTTCACAGAAATGTCGACATCTTAATCGAATCTTTCATCCGTAATCGAATGGAAGGGTGAAACAAATTGAAGGTGGAGCAAGAAGGGAGCATACGTACCGAGCGGAAATCAGGCCCTCTTCCCTTGTGTCTTCCATCCATATCCGTACCCTCCAGTCGCCCACGGACAGGAACAGGGACGGCGTGAAGGTACTTCGATCGACGGCTTTCACCAACTCTGTGTGAGCGTCGAATCTAACAGCGAGCTTCTCCGCGCTCGTCCTCGCCTTCCTCGACCCGGATATGATAATACCGTTGTCCAATCCGAACATAAACTTGGTGCCTACCATCGCCAAGTAATTCACGCTCGAGATACCGATCGCCCTGTTTATTTGAGGATGGTTCGGATCCTCCAGATCGAGTATCAGAACTTCGGTAGGCTGCTTCAGGAAACGCGTGTCCCACCACATCGCGCAACCGTCGTACGACGTGGAGAAAAATTCCGTGTTGGTCTTGGACGGTATCCATTTCACTTTGTTCGCTATGTCCCTGGAAAATGGGCGATCGACTTATTCTTAACACGGTCGAAATGGGGAACGAGAAGGATGCAACGATCTTTGAAACGTGGATAATAGATATATTTTTTTTTTCTTTGTTTTGGGTGAAGTTAGAAAGAGATTTTAAAGGGGAAAGGGAATAAAATATTCCAAAATGAACAGATAGAATAAATAAGTGATTTATATTTTTGGGTTTTGTGAAAAAGTGATTGGAATATACAAGATGTATATGTATATATATTTTAAAAATGTCTCTTCTTATTGAAAAATTATATTTGAATTTGAAACTTGTAGGATACGAGAATTTTATCTCAAAATTAATTAAAAAAGGAATTAAAAATGTATATATATATATTTTTTAAAAATGCCTTTTCTTATTGAAAAATTATATTTTGAAACTTGTAGGATGATACGAGAATTTTATCTCAAAATTGGAATTAAAAGAGGAATTAAAAATATATATATATATATATTTTTTAAAAATATCTTTTCTTATTGAAAAATTATATTTGAATTTGAAATTTGTAGGATACGAGAATTTTTTCTCAAAATTGGAATTAAAAGAATTAAAAATGTATATATATATATATATTTTTTAAAAATGTCTTTTCTTATTGAAAAATTATATTTGAATTTGAAACTTGTAGGATACGAGAATTTTATCTCAAAATTGGAATTAAAAGGGTATAATTTCTCCGTATTTGAATATTTCGATATTCTTTTCCAGTATGAATCTCCATGTCCACGAATCGTATCGAATTTTCGAAACAACGATCCCTTCCTCTCCCTCTATCTTCAAACCCCAAAACTACAAGAAAAGCTCAATAAAGGCGACCTATGTATATACACGTGTATCAACACGAAGCAAAATGAAAGCTACGGGAAACATCCTGCGGACGACGTTACACTGGTTTAACGGATAAACAAAGAAATTCCTCGATATTAAAGACTTTGAAATAAAGGATTCTCTGAAGATTAAAATCTGTTCGAGCACGAGGGGAAATTATCAGGGAATACTTTAAAACAATTTCTGATTCAATATTCGTTGAATATTTTCAACCAATGTAAGATCGAATCCAAATATCGTTAATCCAATACGAATTTAACGATTGAATAATCCCTCTCCCCCCCAAAAAAAAAACAATCCAAAGTTTACAATATCTCCTAAACCAAATCTTATACCTTTCCACGTAAATAATTCAATACTTTAATAAGAAACAATAAACATTTAACGCGATAGAAATTTATATATTCGAAACGAAAAAATCACACGGATATGACGTGCTATATAAAACCTCGAAGAAAGAAAGAAAGAAAATATTTCATTCAAAAGTCTGACGAAGTATCGCGTATCCTCTTTTCCGCCGCTTACCTGTGACTGTATCTCGGATGAGAGCTTTGAACAGGCTTGTTCCCGGTCCTGGTGTCCCAGCTGTTGACTTGGCCTGATATATGGCTGCTGGCAAGGATGGAGAGATCCCTTGGACTGTATTCGCAACAGACGCACGGGGAGAAAGGCTCCAGGCCCATGTAAGGCTCGGTGGGATTCTCTGCTCGTAAAATGCGCGTGTGGGCGATATTTCGTAATCCGGATTATGCGATACAAGATGGAGAAGAGAAAGAAGGAAGGGAGAGAGAGGAGGGGGGGAGGGGGGAGGGGTGGAATCTGGATGGCCACGAGAGTGATTTTCATCAATTCATTCATCATCCGCGTGACGAGTCTCTTTTGCGTGCGATCGTGTTGGATTTTAAGCCACCGAGAGACGTCGGTTGGTTGGTGACTTTTATGCGCGTTATATACACTACCTTTCATCGCGATTATGGCGATGTTTGTGAATGGAAGTTTCTCCCGTCCTCCTCACTATTTTTCTTTCGAGTATTCACCGGTATTCGGGTGAATTGTTAGAAATGATCCTTTCTTTGTAAATACACGCGATATTATGGTTTCTCTTGCGGAAATTTAATTATTTCGAACGTGTCGTGTTTGAGAAGTAATTTTTATCGAAAGTATATAATAATAATAATTGAGCGAAAGTTCAATATTAATTAAGTGTAATATTGAGTTTAATTATATAGTAATTTAATACTATTATTCTGACAATCAATCATGTCTAATATGACAATTTGAGCCAGTTAATTTGAAGGAAAAATATATTCAGAGAAATAATTTCTCTGATATTGACAATAAATAAATTTATCAGTGAATTTTAAGAGGCTACTTTTTCAAACCTATCTAGAAAACCTATCTAGAAAAAATATATAAAAATATATATTCACAATAAATAAATATATATTGACAATAAATAAATTTATCAGTGAATTTTAAGAGGCTACTTTTTCAAACCTATCTAGAAAACTGATATATAAAAATATATATTCAAATAATCTTGGAAACAAATCTGAAATTTTATCATCTTTTCTTCTTGTAAAAAAAATAATTAACGAAATATAAAAAATAATAAATAATTAAAAATGAATAACGAAATTGTTGTGATATTTCTTAAATCGTTAAATTAAGCTCGTATTATATATCGTCCCTTGTCGAAAATGATGTAAACGAGAATGTACTACAATCTTACTTTTCTTCTACCTACCGACGTGCCAGATGTACACCGTTTTACTGTAATCTATGTCCCTCCCGTAGGTCAAGAAACAATACGATACCGCCAATCTGTTCGACGTATCAGCTGACCAAGAAATATTCGTCACCGGCCTCCTTGGTATATCTGGATCTCTGTACACGTTCACGGTTCTGAAAAGCGATTTCCAGAGTGATCATCTCGCGGGAGAAACCATCTTTGCGTTTCTGGCACGGACGGTCTGGATGACAAACAGCTCCAGATAAACCCGCGCCACCCTCGCAAATTGATCGAGATCAATTCGAGGAATGATTTGTCGATGAATTTTATTTCGAAAAATTATAATTTATATTATATATATATATTTATATTATATTATATTAAATTCATATAATGAATTTTGATTTTTTTTTTTTTTACTCGAGTAATTAGAATGGATAGGATACAAATTTTTTGTTCGTTAAAAGGACATAGAGAAATGATAAACATCTGTTAAAAGGATGATGATGATAATAATTATAAGATTTTTTCTTTTTTTTCATCGAAAGAGCGATTCGTTCAGCGCGAAAAGTCCGTGTAGAGGAGAAGTTGAAGTTGAAATTGGATTTAATTTCAATTTTAACGCCACTCACCTGAAGCTGTAGGTCTGTGCCAAGGGCGTTGGTATCATGTCGTCGAAATAATGCTGGTGAATGTTCACTGTACCGTTCTGAAGAATAGCGTGCTCCATGACCTACGAAAAAATTTAATCTAACGCCTTCGATCAAATTTAAATAGCCTTAAATTCCAAGAATCTTAAATTTCCAAGAAGCTACTATTTTCAGCTAACTAATTTTGGAAATCTTCGTGGCAAAGATTGATTGAATTGAATCGAAATTTAAAAGAAAATATTGGAATTGAATCTTTACCTCGAACATGGGAAGCAGTTTCGGTGCCCAATTGTCGTCCTTCTCAACCCTTCTGCGAAATCTGGACGTGGTCTCCTCGTCCCTTGGATTGATGTCCTTCGGCCATCCACCCTCGAAATGAAACATCCCCGTATTCTTCGACATCTTCACGTCCGTTTGAATCTAAAATTTTGAACGATGAGGGATTCTCTAGGAGTCATTTAATAATTTATGTTTACAATTTTTTTTTTTTCCTTTTCCACGGATTTTCTAGCGCGAAAAATTCGTTTCAAGTTCGATCCAATTGATATTCCACGCGCATCCCATAGGAGGTTCGATAGGTTGTTAATGGGTAAATTATCCGGTTCGCGCTTGTTATGTTAATCGGTATGCGATAATACGATTTCCGACGTGTCCAGATAACGATTATCGTGTGCTTTTCGATATTGGTTATTAATGCACGGTATCGACCAAAAGTTTGGAATTATTAATACGTTCGGTAAAATTGGAGAATTTGAATTGAACGTAGAATTTCATTGGAGTATCGTGAAAAATTTTCTTTTTTTTCTTCGTCGAAAGTTTATCGAATTAAAAGTGAAATGATGTGATAATTGTTCTTAAAAATAAAGGAAGCAATTGATGAAGATATATGTTAATATATGTTAATAAACGATAAAAAATGTTTCGAAGAGATTGTAAATTTATACAATAATAATTGAGACAATCTTATCATATTCACAATATATGAATGAAGTAAAAATTTGTGATATATAAATTTACCAAGTTATATATTGAATTGAACGTAGAATTTCGTTGGAGTATCGTGAAAAATTTTCTTTTTTTTCTTCGTCAAAAGCTTATCGAATTAAAAGTGAAATGATGTGATAATTATTCTTAAAGATAAAGGAAGGAATTGATGAAAATATATATTAATAAATAATGAAAGATGTTAAAAAATTCGAAGAAATTGTAAATTTATACAATGTAATAATTTTTGAGACAATCTTATCGTTCACAATATACGAATGAAATAAAAATTTGTGATATATAAATTTACCAAGTTATATATATATATATATATCGATATATACGAAATATTAAAATTCCAGATCATATCATATTAAAATTTCACTGAAAAACTAAAGAGATAAAATATATCAACAATTCGAATACATTCGATTAAAATGAATATAATTGAACCTTTATATTATTTTGTTTATTCCTTTTTGAAATATCTACTATCTGCAATTTTACAAAATATCGAAAAAGCAGTAATCTTGGAATTAAATGCATCAAGTAACAAAGTTTTCCATGCTTTTGGTATCAGTCTGAATGCTTTCAACAAGTTGATACTGCTTTTGTTATCGCAACAGATACCACAGTTTTCGAAATAAATAAACTTCCTTGTATGAAATTTTTTTTTACAAGTAACGGACAAATTGCTTCTCCAATTTTCACGCTTCCTCGAATCTTAGGCTTTCTTTTTCCTTTTTTTTTTTTTTTTTATTATAGTTATTTTCGTTTCTTCGAGAGAACAAAGAATATGAAGTTATCTAATCCGCTGAGAAACAAGTACAAAAGATATCTGATATCGTTGGAGTTTCGTGAGCTTTTCGAGCTTACATTGTCGAGCTTTATCTCGATCGTTCTTGACCTACGTGGAAATGAAATTGAATAAATTAATCGAGGAAACGATTTTGGTGAAGGTTATTTTTTGCAAATTTATTATTATCGAAATTTTATTTGATAAAGAAATAATAAAATATTTATTCTATTTTTTCTCTATATTAATCTTAATCCTTTCTTTATAAGGCAATTATTTGGTCGCCATATTTGTTGTCAAACTTCGTTAAAGTGAGATGAGATCGTTGAGAAATAAAACAAGTTTATTTTTGTTCTAAACAAGTTCCTTAGTTTACGAAAATGAAGAAAACGTGAATACTATAAATAATTATTTCTAGAATTTTTATCGTATTTTCATTATTTTTTCCTTCGTGCGTTATTATATAAATTTTCTACGCGAGAAATTTTATAATTCTTCTAATAAGATCGAAAAGAAGCATAATTAATTTATACTTGCACGAGAGAAAATACTCTTACTCTTATTTTTAAAAATCATAATTTCAATAACAATACATTTTTGATAAATCAAACGTTTAATTGATCACACCTACACACATACAATCATTCATTCGATTTTACTAAGAAAAAAATAAAAACCCTTTCCATTATTGAAAAGAATCGAAATCATGTTTTAAATTCCTCGTTTTCCCCACATTTTCCATATTTTTCCATACTTAAACAATCTATCACTCCTCCTCTCCATCTCTTTTCATTCCAAATAACAAATATTCAGAAATATTGCCAGAAAAAAAAAATCAAAAATACCTGAAAGAAATCGAATACAAACAGATTCATCTCATTAACCACTCTATCTCTCTATCTCACTCTATCTCTATAGCCAAAGCGTCTCGTTTAAGCCTTCGACAAATCCTTTCAAACAGGAGATTCGTTAACAGTCTCACGATATGCTACAAACGATATCATATCCGATTACCGATTGTCGAAAGAGAAAAAGAAATTCTGCGACAAAGATCCCTCTCGAAACGTTGATATATTTCAATATTAACAAATTCGATCTAACCTGATGCAACGCGAATTGGGCGGAATGTTGCACCTCGATGTCGCGCTCGCTCTTCAAGATGAAGGCGCTCATCTCGGACGGCTTCGGCGATATCTCGGCGTCCATTGTCGGTTCCCGAATACTGAAGATGCATTGCTTGCCAAATTCGGCACGAGTTTTCACGTACACCTTTCTTATCTCCATTGCGGCTGATCTGAGGGATAAAAGTAACGATAAGCGGTGGAATTAAATCTCATTCTTTAAGTGGATCACTTTTTTCTTGCGGAGCAATCTTTCCTCTCGTCGAAATTAACGTTCAAATATTTTAATTCGCTCTATCATTCCTTCGTGAAACAAATTTAAGGAATATTCAATTTAACAAATTAAATATTAGATAAAATAAAAATGTTTCACTGTGTTATTTGTCAACGTAGAGATAAAGTAACATACAAGAATTTGGTTTCTTAAATATTTATCTTTGCCTAGAACGAGATGCTATCTTTTTTAACAATTTAATATTAATTTAATAATTTAATTTAATATTAATTTTTAAACAATTTAATATTCGTTTCAACATAATAATAAAATACGTGAAATAATCATGAGAAAAGTAAACTCGTCGTGAATTCCACAACTCTACTCATCGATCAATGAAATCAATCGTCGTCTTATTCGAATAAGAATACGAATCCAATTGAAATAAAATAAAAACTGAAAGTAAATATAATATAATACGACAAATCAAAAATACGTTCCCTTCGTACGTATCTAACCTGATTTAACAGAAGAAACGCAATCCTGAGAAAAATCCAACACCTCTTTAACCTTTTCCCCCTGTTCCGTGGCTCTGTCGAGGTCAAAGAGCGGCGCGATAATTCGTCGTGTCTGTAGCTTGCTTGCACGCCGACCGTTTCACCGTGAAGCGAAGAGAGGCGGCAAGTGTTGAAAGATTCATGAATTCACGAAGCGAATAAAGTTCCGGCCGGAACGATATTTGCCTTGTTTCGACAAACAAGCCGAGAATTCGACTGAGAAGATTCACACGTGCGAGCGCCCTCCAGCGGCATTTCCCTCCTTTCTCGCGTGGAAGATCCTCTTTACGTGTGAATCGAGCATAAATGGAAGTTAGTTACCGAGCACGAGGGGAGGGGGAGGGAGTGGGGGGGTAACAGAGTCCGATCAAACTCGTGGATGAAACGCGTGGCTGCCCTCTCGAACCGCCTTTGTGCCTGAACGTAGCCATTTTGTCGTTCTACGAGTTCTGAAGTGAGCTCGGTATATGCGTGTATTATGTTTTTCTTTCTTGCGTTTCGTTTATTTAATTCGCTTAAAAATCAAAGAAAGCTGGTTGAAAAAAAAAAAGGATGCTCTGCATTCACGGATAATAAATAAAATTTAACCACGTTTCATCTTCCAGATTAGATGTTTTTCAACTCGAAAATTTCAATGAAAGTTTGTTTTGCGGTTATGTGCAGAGCGTTATATGGATCATTCAAAGGGGTGGAATTTTTCGATGTAAATTTTGGCACCAACTTACGAAGATAGATTTCGAAAAGAAAGGAATTGGAACTTTCACGTTTCATTTTCCAGATTAGATGTTTTTCAACTCGAAAATTTTAATGAAAGTTTGTTTTGCGGTTATGTGCAGAGCGTTACATGGATCATTCAAAGGGGTGAATTTTTCTATGTAAAATCATCTTACAGAAGATAGATTTCGAAAAGAAAGGAGAAAGGAATTGGAACTTTATATTGATTTCGATATTAAAATGATATTTACATTTTTCTAGGCAGAATATATTTTTTGATGAATCGATCGTTTTTATAAAAACCATTTATTCCAAGGTTTCTATCCTTTCCTCTAATATCTGCAGAAACGCTGGATCGGATCGATTTCTTTTTTGTCGGCCCGGAACGGGCGATGGTAGTTAAGCGAATTTCAATGGAGGGTGGTAATTAAGACATTTCTTATCCCAATTACCTTTCCATGTCCCGACGAAAATGTTGAATTAGCACAACAGTGAATTTTGCACGTAATCAATTAATCATCTCAAACTGTTATCAAGTGAAATTACTTGATTTTCTTTGCAACGCTCTTCGTGATCTTTTTTCTATAAATCAAACAGCGATATTGTCTTGCAAAATGTTCATATTAAAATTTTATAATACTTAGAATCTTCTAAAATTAAACCAAAAGATTCATATTTATGAAATCTTCAATTAGCTTCAATTGTAAACAAAATTTAACAATTTTTTTTTTACTGTTTGTGCACATATCATTCATAATCGAATCTTCTTTAAAATCGAGAAGAAGAAACTCGAAACGAAAAACCTGTTTGTTCCTGTCGATAATTTTAATTTAAATTGTAACTTATTTAATTAATTGCATTTTTCTTTTACTGTTTGTACACACATCATTCAGAATCGAATCTTCTTTCAAATTGAGAAGAAGAGGATCGCTTCCATCTGCCTTCAAAGAAAGCATCGAAAAATGAAAACTCGATATGAAAAATCTGTTTGTTTCTGTCGATAATTTTTCCGATCGAGCCGTAAAACCACGAACCCTTGTACTCAGCAATCTGTAAAAGTGACCCGAGAAAGGGGTGGGGGTGCAGAGGAGGGGAGGAGGCCGACAGAAGATTGCAATCAAGGCTTCTCAATTCTTTGCTAATACTTGCTTCATCAAGAACCGCTGATGCAATCATTCTGTCTTAACGAATCGATCGTTTCACATTATTGAGGTTCGTTGCTTGCAAGCGTGAAGTTGCATTCGCGTCACGCTTCCCACGATGAAAGATTTCCTCCTCCAACTTTAATACCCCGATATGTCATGAGAGGAGATATTAAAAATCGTTCCTTTTAGCGGGACACAAGTTTAATATATGATTCTTATAATAGAAATTTCCCCTATATTTCTTTCTATATACCTTCTAAATGATATTTTTCGAATTATACTTTTTATTATATTTTCTTTTATATTATATCTTAAGAAAGATTTCTGAAAAATTCATTTCAGATTTTCTGGTAATGATAGTATTAATCTTTCAGCATTTATCTTTTGCTTTATCAGTCATAATCAGAATCTATGAGATACAAAATCTAGTAAATTTAGTAAATAACGTTTTTAATGGTTCTTACGAATATTCAAGAAAAATGATCTTTAATCTTTAATTTTGAGCAACATATAAATAAATAATAATCAATCACTTTCGTTATATAAATAAATAATTCTAAATTGATTAATATTATTATAAATTGATAATTGGTAATTCAACTACAACTACATGAAATTATGACATTATATATAATTCCAATAAATAATGAATTCTATTATCATAAACTGAGAATGAGTTATGCATTTATGAACAGAAAGGAAAATACAAAATAAATCTAAAATAAAGTATATGGCTCGAAAATGTCCACTCGTTAAAGCCTACATACAATTCAATATTAAATACAACGAACAGAAAGAAGTCTAAAATAAAATCCGAGGTAACCGCCTCTATTTCTCAATTCCATTTCTCATTTCTTGGAACGATCCGTAAATAAACTTCATTTGAATGCGTGCAAACACGAGAAAAAAAAAAAAAAAAAAAAAAGAAGAATCCAATTCAAAATCCTCATCATTCCTGTTATTTAAACAAAGAAAATAACGAATCACCCAATTCTCTTCCCATTAAGTTAAATAAGAAATTTCGAAATAGTCACATAACCCATAATTAATACAGGAATAATAACCATGGACGCATAAAATTACGCAAAATGTCTCTACGCCGTTTAACATTCGCGGGTTGCCGATAATCGCAGAAATTATCGCGCCATTTCCGGTGAATACAGAATAATTCCTCGATCCGCGTTCGATCGAGATCTCGCGGAAAATAATTTCTGTTTATCGATCCTGGCTTTAATCATAAATCGAATTGTCCGAAACCGAATCGCGGTCGATTCTTTATCCTCGAAAATTACAGGAAAATCGACACAAAAGGTTGCCTCTCTAATTGCTGAAACTTTCGAGCAATTTTTACGTTAGATATATGCCCAATTTATTTCGAATACTACGCGATATCAATATAGTTTTAATGAAAGGATAGGATGTATATCGAAAAATTTGCGATTTTTTTTCGAAATTATTCGAGATTTTTTAAATTGACTCGTCTTTTAATTCTTCTTAAAGTTATGTTTTACATACAAAAGTGATATGAAAAGTTGTAAATGTAATTTAAAATTGGCATAAAATAATATATATTATATATCTTTACATATAAAAATCTTGTATCATGTTGAGTTTATTTTTTAAAAAATCAATAAATAATAAAGTAAGTGAATAATAATGAATAAAAATTAGTAGATATTTCAAGTAATAATTCTTTATAACTCTTTTACTTTTTACGTGTCGCAAGATAAATTTTCAAATTTCATCCTTGAACTTGTGCAATCCTCTCATAAAAGTAAAAGCAAAGGCCAATGAATTTCATACGAAGTTAATTCGCAAAGAAATCGATAGCTTGACGCACGTACATATGCATTGGTTTAAACTTTAACAACCGTGGATTCTGGATAATTCCCCCTTGGAAAATCCAAATACCCGTCACTGCGGTATAAACCAAATCCGCAACCGCATGCGAAATATCGAAATATTTTTACGCTTATTTTTCATCGGTTCGTCAATCACGTCCTTTAGATCAGTCACTCGTCACGGCTAGCCGTTTCAAAAGTTTCAAAAGTTCTTCTCCCGTTTTTATTATACTCCCTCTGGAACCTTTATGACTAAATATCGACGAAACCGTGATCGAGTTGAATCGTATTATACTGGCTACAAAAGGCACTTGCAATAAGTAATAATCGTCTTCCTCATGCTCGAATGTGTAAAATCTCGTTTGAGTAAAATTCTTAACAAAATAAGATGAACGTTGCTCTTTCTATTAATTTCAATGATAAAAGTTGAAAGATGTTTTACAATTAAATTAAACTCTAAAATAAATTCTGTCGTCTCAAAAGTATTGATAATTGTCTTCTTATATTTTACATTTAAAAACTGTAGACACTGTATAACACAAAGAAGATGGTATTTTAATAAAGTATCCTTTCTACATTTGGTCTCTAAATTGTCAAATTTTAATATCCAAGTGAAATCAATGCTGAAAAAATGTAACAAATTGATTATTATAAATTCCAGAATAAATATAATACTGTAACCTTTACATTTTCCTCAAAATTCCCTTGGCCAATATTTGCTTTGGCCAAAGTTGGCAATAATGGAAAATAACTCGTTTCGAGCAAAAATCGTATCCCGACTGATCATCAGAAATCACACGTATACAAGAATGAGAAAACTTTTCCACTTTCTCTTGTCTCTCCTTCCTCCCAACGACGACCCCTATGCGAAAATCCTGAAATAAACCATTGCTCTCATCAGCTAATGCACACGAGCGTTATGTACCGTCCAGTTTGTGTGACTTCCTCGTTCTCGACTGAACGCATCGTCGAGGGGAAAAAAAAGGATTCCGATTGTTTCTCTCGTTTTTTCTCTCTCTCTCTCCCTCCTTTTTTCACGACTCGGCTTGATAAGCCAGCGAAATTGAAATTCGAATGAGGGAGATCGAGTGTACACCGAGTTTCCCCAGGATTCCCTCCACCACAGGCTGTTTACAGGGCGATACAACCACCGTGGCCATCGAAACGGCTTTATGGCTCGAACATTCGAAGTATTGTATCAGCTGCTAATTTCCGTGTTCACTAGCTCAAAGGTTAATTCTGATCGAATCAATGGCTTTTTGGGTTAATGGGCCGCGTTTGAGGCGATGTTATTTGAGGATGAAATATGCACATGTGTATGTATTACACGTGTAAAGAGTCCTGTCCCGATTTAAATCGATCGAGCTCGAATATCCGTCAAGTTATCGATGGTGGATAAATGATGGATAACGAAAGGAACAAAAGTGGAACGTGTCTCTTGAAATTTGAAAATTATGTATTAACAAGCGATGGTACAAAATAAAATCTTGTAAAATCACTTACCTTGCTAATATTTATCGTTCCAATTCGAGAAATGTTAATTCTGTAAAAAGTTTTTTAGATATTGATTATAGATATTCCATTATATAAAAAATTTAATATTAATTATTTATTATTATAATACATTTAAATATATATATATATATAATATTATTTTCTTTAATAAATATAAAGTATCTTATCAAGTATAAAAACCGATAATTTCATTACAATTAAAATCTCATATAAATTTCCCCATTTATCCCCATATATTTCTTTTAGCAAATATATTCGAAATATTATCAAAAAGAAAAACATCAAGGAATAAAAAAAAGCTTAATTAAAAGAAATTTAAAGAAAAATTAAAAGAAAATTAAAATTAAAAGAAATTTCGATCGATCAATAACAATCTATAAAAATATATAAATATATTCAATCAATTAAGAGTAAAAATTCAAAATCGATAAATATTTCGACAAATATTATCCGCGTAAAAAATTTGTTTGAATATACGTGACTTTATATAGAATCTCCAACGAGAAAAGTTATTAATCGCGTATCAATTGTCCCAAATTCTCCGTGACAGACGATTCGAGAATGGGCAGCAAGTTAACTGGCACTTAGGCTTTCAACCGGAAGCCGCAAATTACGTGGCCACTTTGCATCGATGCGCAACTATCATCCCAGGCATGCATAATTAATCAGAAGAGCATCATCTCGATGAATGGCCAAAATACGCGCGATTTGTTTCCAGTGATTCTTTGGTTCCAATTTGATGAAACTTTCTGAGAAAAAAATCATTTTTTTTTTTTTTATGATAATGATATTCCGAGAAAAGTATAATATTTTTTATTTAAGTTATTATAGAATAATTATATATGCAGTAATTAATTATAAGAAAATGATTTTTAATTAGTATACCATGAGAAGTTTATGTTGAGTGTATCAAAAAATTTTGTATATATTTGTATATAAGAATATTCTAGACGTATAATTGAGGCCAATTTCTGAAAACTGACTATAGTTGGCGCTAGCATCCACGGATAATTAGCATTCGTATTCACGTGTCTTTGTGTGAATGTTAACTAGTGCATTAGAAATGCATTAGTTAATATATCCTATATGTAGAACATTAATAACAGATTTTGATAACGAATCGTTTTCATAAATCGTATTATAAAGTTATAACATTGACACTCTATTGTAATCACATCACAAATGGTTAAATATTCAAACTATAAATTTCTATTGATTTCTATTTGTATTGTTGTATAATTAAAATTTATAGAAGCAATTACCAAAAGAATATCGAAAAAAATTTCTAAAAACTTTCATTCCTAAAAAAAATAATCATTAATATTATAATAATATTTTTCTCGAAAATGAATTACGTATGAAAAAACTAATAGAAAAAAAACTTTAAACATCACCGTATGTTTGAATTTGTTTCAAAGCATGCCTTCCATGGACACAAAAGAATCAATAGCTTTTCATTAAAAAAATTAAGAATCTTCTCTCAAAAAAAAAAAAAAATGATATAAACCAATTATATCATTTACAAAAGACAATAATAACCTCTCCTTCTATTTTTGAACTAACACACGAAGAAAGAAACGCAAGAAATCATACCTGTCATCCTTCAACCTCCAAGTTTTCATTCCTTCGATCGCTATTAATTAATCCCATACTCCTTCTTTCCCCGTTCGGGAGAAACTGCCAACTTCTTCCAAGAGCCGAGCACAATATCCTCCATCGAGACGAGACGTATTGGCTCCGTGAAGAGACGACGAGGGGATGCTAAAAACTTTCTCCAAACTGCTCGTCATAAGTTCGTCATTCATCCAAGGAAATTCCAGACGGATTATCGTACCGTGTTTTCCGGCTCGTCATGCTTTTGCCCAACTTCGGAAGAACGTTCCCTCGCTTAAACTCCGCCAATAAATGGAAAGCTGCCGCGTGCCCCCTTCGAGATCTCGAGCGAAAAACGAAGCCGAGCCATCGCGTTTCCATCCCCTTTCCCCTTTTTTCCTCTCTCCATTTTGCCTCGCCGACAACTTCTTGCTTTGCCAACCGCGTTAGAACCACCTGTTTCTAAGCAGGATTTGATGCTGTTACCAAGGGAGGAATGAATTTTCGACGTAAGAAAAAACGTTTCTTCACGTCGTGCAAGCGACTTTCGAAGAAAGGGACACTTTCTGGCTCCTGCTCGACGATGCATGCGCCAAGGAAAGGGAAAAGTTTTCGACGAGATTGTTTGCCTTGGTTGGACACCGAGGGGAATATCACGAACAAACTCTTCCACGTGATCCTTTTCTCGAGGAGAGATGCAGCGATGGATCTACTTACGACGCTTGTGTTTCTTCGATGAGGATCGAGGGTGTTTTTTTCAGATCAATGGAGAAGATTAAGATTTTTTATTTTTCGATTTCTAAAATATTTGCGAATTATTCTTTTGAATTATTTAAAAATGTATATTTTTTTTTTTTTTTTTTTTTTTGCGTATGCCTCTTCAATTTCTGGGATTACTTTTTACTGTATTTTTATAAGAGATATATCTGAGATATCATCAAAATATGAAAGGAATACGTGAGCTATATGAAGCTAACATCTTCGAAAGTTCTAAGGAAGTATCTTTAGATATCGTCTCTTTGCTCTTTTTCATACAGCTGCCCTTTCAATTTCTTCAGACACTTTTTGTTACATCTCCAAGATATTGTCAAGATGTCTCATTTGAACGTTATATAGATTTTTGTAACTTCAAAGAAGAATCGGATATTCTGATCTAACTTTCTTGCTCTATCTAATAGTTTCCTATCTTACAATTTCTGAAACTGTATAATCTTTCTTTTGTATAATATTCTCACGAAGTATCCAAATATTTCCAAAATATCGAAAAGATTTGGAAGCTTTGTGACTTTGTTACCAAGAAGAAATAATTCGTTGGATTATCCTTTTTCTAATCTCTCTGATACATTTATTCTTGAAATCGAAGAAGCTTTTTTTTAAATATTCCTTTCTTCTTTTTTTCTTTTATTAAATTTTCAAGGATAAATTCGAGAAGGAACGTCGTAGAAGCTGCATCATTTCCACGATTTTCGATCGAAGAAACACTGGATACGTTCTTTCTTTTTTTTTTTTTTTTTTTTTTTCCTTCGATGAATTTACCCGTTCGATTTTCAAAACGATTATGAAAAATATCGATTTTTTTTAAACATCTAATCGATCGAAATTCCATCCCTCGTTCTATTCCTTCGGCTTTTCCTCGGCTGCCTTCTTCATCTCCTGCACGAGGATGGCCGATATCCGCGGATAGAACCACTTCTTCATTACATCGAACTTCGACACTTTCTGCTTCATTAAATTCCACATTTCCATCTGTTCCTGTTTCTTCTTCTCCTCGAGCTCCTCCTTAGTCGGTTCCAGTTTTTTCGATGGCCTCACCTTCTTCTCTACAGTTCTTTTTGCAATGTAAGAAGGCTCTTTCTCCCTCAGATCGTCCGATTTAATCGATTTCTCGTCCTCATCCAGCACCTCCTTCAGCACCTTCACAGGCGGCGCCAACAGCTTCTGCTGCACGGTCCAGGTGCTCAATTTCTTCGCGATCGCACGCTCCTGCCAGTCGCGAAGCTCTTTCTTCGCCTTGGTGAGCTCTTTGTGAAGCACGTATGGCGGCGCGTTCTTCATCATCAAGATTTTCCTCTTGAACGCGCGCGTCGGTGGTGGAATTTGAATAATGTAATCGGTCAATCGTTTGTACCACTTGTTATCTATCATGAACGGGCTCGTTCTGTCGATCGCGTCTTCCTTCAATCTCTCCTCCTCCTTCCTCTTCTCCTCTAACTTCTGTTTCAATTTTTCTAGAATATATAGAAAAGATATGGAATTTTTTTCTTTTCTTTTTTATCTTTCAATCGTACTTTATTTCCTCGCGATTAGAAAAATTACTTAGAACGAGGAGAAATTTAATTTTGATTTGTAGATTTGGAAATTTCTTTTTTTTTTTTATCTTTCAATCAAATGTTTTATTTCCTCGCGATTAGGAAAATTACTTAGGACGAGGAGAAATTTAATTTTGATTTGTAGATTTGGAAATTTTTTTTTTTATCTTTCAATCGTACTTTATTTCCTCACGATTAAGAAAATTAAGACTTAAGACGAGGAGAAATTTATTTTTGATTTATAGATTTGGAAATTTCTTTTTTTTTATCTTTCAATCGTACTTTATTTCCTCGCGATTAGGAAAATTACTTAGAACGAGGAGAAATTTATTTTTGATTTGTACATTTGGAAATTGGGAGAAAAATTGGAAGTATATATATATATATAAAATGTGTCGAATAAAATTGAAATAACGTATAAATACGAATCGGTGATTTGATTAAAATTTGAAAAATATGAAACAAACAAGTAAGAACAATAATTTTTTTTATCGAGTCAGGTATAATAAATAAATTTAAATCGAATATTCAATGGATACGTATTTAGAGAGATTATTAATTCGATAAGTATAATTTAATATCACGTTGAAAACAAAATCATTAACACTTCCTTCCCTACATTTTTCTTTTTTAAATTTCATTGTTCTATTTAAACGACAGTTTCGCGTTATTTTTAACCATGAAACGTTGGAGCGAAATTTGTACGAAAATCATATGGAACATCTGTGTTACCTTTTAAGTAAAAATTCCGACATATTTCTTCAACGTGCTATTATGTTAATCTAACACATTTCTTTGTAACATGCTATCGTGCCTCTGTAATAATTCACAAGGGGTAAATTTCGAGTGAAATTTGCTTAAGTTGGACACCTGAAAGCTCCAAAAAATGTATCATTTTCCACAAAGCGCATAATCTAGGGGGAGCTTTAATGTTTTTTTTAACCATCCTTGACACTTCCAACTGAAATTTCACTCCTGAAATTTTATTCCTCAAAATTTGAATTACCATCTGGAATATTTTAAACATTCGATCGAACAAAAAATTACATACGTGTAAAGAGATTCATAAATGTTCTTAGAATGTTTTTCAAATTTTCCAAAAATCTAGTGAAAAAGAAAAAGAAAATTCAAAATATCGTAAGATCACAGAGGCTTTACGTCAATTTTAAAAAATCACGTTTTCTAATTTTATTAATTTTAAGAAAAAAACAAATTAGAAATTGAACTCGTCAAGTTTTCCTTTTAACTTCAAATTTTATTAAAACACTTCGTTTTAATTATCGGATTATAAATCGATATAAAAATGACAAACAAGACGATGAATCAGACGAATATAAAATCAATTAAAATGGATTATCAAGTTCTTCTCCCGTCATGTCGTCGTCAGACGAGATACAATCTACGAGGGAACTTTTGAATTATTCAAATGCCAACAACCGATTTTATCTTTGGAACCTGAAGGGGTTAACGAAACGTGCATCGAAGTTTAAAATCATCGTTAAAATACGTATAGGCGGGCCTAATTTTTCAATTATCCCAAACGAGGCTAATATCGTGAATATCCCATCTAGATCGGTATCTTTGCACCGTTGACACTAATCGAGATTCCTGTCCGGCCGAGAAACAAACTATTCCACGCACGCGAGCCTCGTCTGTTCAACGCTAATTAATTCCATCCTAATTTGTAATCGTGAAACTCGAGCAAGGGATTTGGCCGTTCTTTGTAATTATCGGGACCACCCAATATCTAATTTCCGTAATCAAATTCTATTTACGCGAGGAAAACAAGAACGAGAATGAAAATTACACTATTGAATAATAATTTAATAATTATTAGTGATTTTATCATTATAATAAATATATTCTACAATTAATCCACTCCTCCTCCACGTGAAATATATTTATGATATTTCAAAAATAAATGAACAATTAAAAATTATTTTCGTAAAAAGTCAATCGTCTATTAAAATCGTGTCAAAGTTAATCAGATAAAATGGATCAGATAAAAGTCCCTTGTGTCCACAGCAATGATAAATAAAAACTTTATCTAACCAATCTGATTTACCGACTGATAAATCGTTGGACAAATCCGCAACAACGAATTATATATATACGTGACGTTCGATTAATTTCGCAACCTAATCCATGCGCATGCGCGATCGCTCCCCTCCCTAATCGTCTCGATCGGTACGTTTCCCACGTTTTCCGTTGAAAACCTTTAAATCCACGGGACAAAAAAAAACAACGTTAGCGCGATTTAACGGAAAGTGTACATTGTACACTTCCGTTCCTCGGGCAAACGGGGATTGGAAAAACGGGGCGACGTCGATAAATCTTGTATTATTTCTCGGGCAGAAATATCGTCTTATCGGGCGTGGAAAAATATTTACAACCGCGTGTCGAAGTTAATGGCGGCGGCGTTCTTTCCCGCCGCATGTAGGATTTATTTCCATATTGGCGATGAACGGCGTTCCTGAATGCAATTTTTGTATTCCCATCGTGCATGGGGCCGCTGCGATCAAAGACGTCGCTTAAGCATCCGGAAATATTCCTTTGTCGACGTGGAATTTAAAGTCACGGTCTGTTTAGGTTATGTTAGGTGAATTTAATAAGTGAGCCGAGTTCAAGAAACTCGAAACCGGTATTAACCTGTTATTTCCTTCACACTTCGAAATGTCGTTTCGAATTTATATTGAGCGATTACGGGATACGGTTGCATATTTGTTGTTGGACATAGTTTAGTCGAGAGTTTCGATGGCAATTTTGTTAATAACGTTCATTTGCTCGTACGTTGAAAAACGTATTTCTAGGTAGTTTCAATATCTTA